ACAATGGGCTGATAACCAAAGGGTTGGCAGTTTGAACCGACCAGTCACTCTGCAGGAGAACGACAAGGCAGTCTGCTTCTGTAAAGATTTACAGCCTTGAAACCCCTATGGGGTAGTTGTACTCTGTTGTATAGGGTAACTATGAGTCAACTCAGTGGCAATGGGTTTGGTTTTTTGCTCACTTCTAGGAGCTGGCTTTACTCTTCAACTCTATCCTCACTTCTAATAGTTATGTTTAGTCTTTAACTCTACCTTCATTTCTAGGAGTTGTATTTTTTCAGATCTATTTATGCTTTACTCATATTCAAGCCTCTCTGTTATTTCTGGAAATAAACTACACATTTGTTGTTGTTGTCAGGTGCTGTTGAACTGGCTCTGACTCATAGCAGCCTTATGTACAACAGAATGAGACACTGCCCAGTCCCTACTCTACCTGAGTCCACTGTTGCAGTCACTGCGTCAATCCATTGCATTGAGGGCCTTCCCCTTTTTCACTGACTCTCCACTTTACCAAACATAATATCCTTCTCCAGGGAATGGTCCCTTCTGACACTATGACCAAAGTAGGTGAGACGAAGTCTAGCCACTCTTGCTTCCAAGAAGTATCTCAGCTGCACTTCTTCCAGGACAGATTTGTTCATTCTTCTGGCAATCCATGGTACTTTTAGTATTCTTCACCAACACTACAACTCAAAAGCATCAACTTTGTATCAGTTTTCTTGATTCACTGTCCAGCTTTCACACACGAGGCAAATGAAAATACCGTGCCTTGGGTCAGGCGCACCTTACTCTTCAAAGAAACATCTTTGCTCTTCAGCACTTTAAAGAGGTCTTTTGCAGCAGATATGTCCAGTGCAATACGTCATCTGATTTCTTGACTGCTGCTTCCATGGGTGTTGATGGTGGAACTAAGTAATATGGAATCTTTGGCAACTTCAATTTTCTCTCTATTTATCATGATGCTGCTTATTGGTCCAGTTGTGAGGATTTTCATTTTCTTTAGGTTGGATCTCACAGACCAGACGTGAATTCTCAAGGCTGTTTCCTCTCCTTGCAGTGCATGGGGTAGAAAGAAGTCTAGCCCTTCAGAGGAGCCAGCTTTATGGGGACAACTGTTCCAAACACACAGACCTCAAATAAGCCCCAGCTGTGACCTGCTGACCCTCAGCCTCGCAGGGCAAAGGCTGTGTCACCTGCCACCCACCTGGACTCTGCCTCTGGGCCTGAGGAGCCCTTTTGTTTTGCCAGCTTATGGAGGCACCTAGGAGATGCAGTACGAAAGCTTTTAACTGGCACTTTCAGCTGTTCTCAGCACCAGGTGAGCTAGGTACCTGACCTACCTTGCTGTCAGGAGGAGACGACCTTTCCAGCTCGGTCCCTCATCGCCCTGGCTGGGTCTTCTTACAGTGTCCCTCTCATGCAGCTGCCCGTGGGGAACAAGCCTATGTCCCAGCTGGCTCCCACGACCTCACCCGAGAGGCAAAAGTCACAGCCCCTCGATGTGACCACAGGCCCTGCCTGCCCGTCCTAAAGGCATGTTCCAGTGCCTCTTCTGTCTGAGGTCTCCCCGCATGCGAGGCTCCTGTCTGCTGAGTCCACGGTGCTGGCCACACTAAGCAGGGCCTCACTCCACTCACCCTGCAACTGGCCAGCCCCCTTGGCCCTCACCTGGACACACTTCACGTTGATGCCGGGGCACACAAACTTCCTCCAGATCAAGTTGGCCCTGCTGTCCCCGCAGGTGATGGGGTACACCACCTCAGCCTCCAGGCTCTCATCCTCTTCAGCCATCTTCACTTCTCACAGTTGTCGACAGGGAGGGAGAAAGGAAAGTCAGTTACAACCTCTCGAAACCACATCCCTCAAAGCAGAGAGACAGCCTCCAACCCAGAAACCAAATACTGTAAGAAGTAGGCCCAGAGATGGACAGAGCCCAGAGACAGACGGAACCAGGCGCTGGCTGCACAGCCTTGCTTTTCACTGCAGCTGCCCAGAGGCTGCCTCCAAGGGTCCCTGGGCAGACACTATTCCTGGAACGTCTTCCAGCACATCCATAGACCACTCAGCAAACACTAGAGCAGTCACACAAGCCCATGACACTGTGGGTCTCCCACGGAGCCAGTTAAGGAAACAGCTGTTTACTTGAAGCAATTACAGGGAATTCAATTTTAAGGTTTTACAGTATTCAGAGGAGCCCTGGTGGCGTAGCTGCTAACCAAAAGGTCAGCAGTTTGAACCCATCAGCCACTCCTCTGGAGACTCAAGACTGGCAATCTACTCCCATAAAGATGATAACCTTGGACACCCCATGGCAGTGCTACTCTGTCCTGCAGGGACTCGACAGCAGTGGGTTTGGTTTGTTTCTGGTAGGGCCCTTCATCTTGAAGCATCCAAGGGTTAAGAGGAAGTTTTGCTTCTGCTCACTGATAGCTGCAGTGAGTACAGGCAGAACACACCCAGAGACAGCAGAGGAGTGACGGCTGTAGTGGCTGTAGTCGGGTGTCCTTCCCGAGAGGGAGCAGAGCTGCAGGCCACACACGTGGACTCCACACACTGGGTGTGCCCTCAGCACAAGGGCCACCAACACCAGTGACTTTCTAATCTCACAGCAAGGTCAAGAGCCTTGCTGATCTCCAGTTGTCCCCCGCCCACACAGAGAAGCCTCTTGCTCGAAGGGATGAGTCAGGGCTGGGGCTGCCCGCCCTGTGGGGGCCGCCAGCTTCCTACCCAAGACCGCCTCTTTGAGCTGGGAGGAGGCTGTGAAGGCTGCGGCTGCGGCTGCGGCGGCGTTCTCTGTCTCCATGCTGTCCTCTGTCAGGTCGCCCCTGGAAGACCAGGAAGAGAGCGGTGAGTGTCAGCCCGTCAGCGGTACATGACATACTGTTACTGGGTGTCCTGTGCCCTCCCAGCTCCAACAGCTGCTGCCTGTGCAGGCCACCAGGCTGGCCTCTGCAGTGGGGGACCTCACGCAGTCTTGATTCCAGAGGCAGCTGTCTCAGCACCTACAGGAGCACCAGGCACGGGAGTGTGTGACAGACATGCGGAACCAGAAGTCCACCCCACGTTTTCCTCTAATGACGCTCTCTCTTTATAATGACTTCGTATGGCTGTAGAAACTATCAGAAAACCTAACACTTCAGAAAGGAGAGAAAACTACCCATGGCCCAATCTCGTCTCACAGCAAAATCAACTACAGATAAATCAAAATGTTAAAAGGAAACCAGGAAAGTACTAAAAGGGAAGAGAAGCTTTTAATTCATCACAAATGGATCAAAGGGTTTCTTGCCACAAAACGCAGATATCATTAAATTTGCCCTAAAAATCTTCCGTGTAGGAAAAAATACCATGAACATTTTTTTAGAGAAAAGAGAGAACTTGGTTCTTCCAAAAGTTATACACAGTTACCATCTGACTCAGAGATCATAAAACAACAGACCCAAAAGAACTGAGAGCAGGGACTGAAACAGATTCATGCACCAGGGTCCATGGCAGCATGGTTCACAAAAGCCAAGGGGTGGGAACAAGCCAAGTGCTCATCAGTGGATGAACGGGCAGACGAGACGTGGCACTGCCATGTCACAGAGAGGATGGAACACACAATGCAATGTTTGAAAACATGCTGCTGAGTGAAAACGTAAACACAAAAGGACAAAAGGATGTTCCCAGGGATGAGAAACAGCAGGCCAGTGCTCAGGACAGAGCTGGCTTGAGGCAGGAAGAGCAGTCACCGCGTGGGGCACTGGGCTTCTGGGCAGGGTGATGGTGACTAGGAAATGGACAGTGTTGATGGCTACATGTGATGAATGGAACTCACGTCACTGAACTGTACACAAAGCAACGCCCAAGTGGCAAATGCTTTGACATATAAAGTTCACCACAATAAAAAAGTGACAGGCCTCGTGAGTGGAGAGGAATGTGTACAACATACTCAAGTCACACAGTTCATTTCCTTCATCTCCAGATGAGCACCAGAGATGCCTACACACACTAGGCCAAAGGGAAAGACCAGGGTCTCAGCCTTGGAGAAGACAGCTCATTATACTTAAGAGGACATGCAGGTGGACAGACAGGGAGACACCACTTGGCCCAGAGCACTAGCAAGATGCCCAGCACAGTGGGAGTGTGGGTGGTGGGGATGTGCCATGCTAACCTGGATGCAGAGCACGCACCAAGGCAGGCGGTCTGTAGATGGCTCAGACCATGCAGAGTTTGGCTGGTGAACCCCAAGCCCGCGTCAAGGAACCAGCCCTGCAAGGGACCTATCCCTGTGCACCAAAGAGTCACTGCACAACTGTCTGAGCAGCAAAGCCATCTGTGGACTGGAAAGCAAGCAATGCAACAGGTGGGAGGGTCCTGGGCAGCCACATACGTGAACTCACCTTATACAGACAATAGTCAGTGCCTGTGCTTTTCCATAAAGAGACTGTACTTTAGGAATTTTGCCTAAGGTCAAAGGTACCACTAGGAGCAGCTTCTGAATACGCACCCCCCCCCAAGGGGCTGCCCTTGGGTTCCAGCAACGCATGAGGGTCTCCACGGGGACCAGAGCACAGACGATATGATTGTGGAGCGCCGTAGGGCACCATAGCGCCCAAGCTCTCAATGAACACCCAGCACCTGCCCTCCCACGAGCCTCTCCAGCCAGCCTGCCCACCTGGCTGCCCACCACGTGAGCCTTGGCCGTGCCCACTGGTCCACCTGGTCATCACCAGCATTGCACAGGCCTCCACCTCTCACCGCCCATTGAAGGCAGGTGGTCCATGTAGTCTGAGGACAGAGCGCAAGGGGAGACTTCCACAGGACTCTGCTGAGTCACTGACTGCCCAGAATCTACCCTTCAAACTTCATTTGAAAACCTCTACTCCACTTGCACCAAACGTGTGTGCAGACCACTTCGTGTTCCCCAGAGCACTGACCTGCAGCCCAAGCCCGTTGCCACGGCAGCCCCTCCAGGCTCAGACAGGGACTCACCCCACTCTGCCACCAAATTCTAACAAGAGAAGAAAACAGTACTCAGACAGTTACCAGGCAGCTTCTGCTCCACCACCAGGTCCTAAACCTATAACAGGAGATGACCTCAGCTCCCTAATTTCGACTAAAGACTTCCCACAGAAGAGAAGGGTGGGCTTTGAGTCCATCAACATAAATCCATCTCAGCTGTCAGGTCCTCTTCTCACAGCAGGGACACCACAGCCTCTCCTCACCTCAGGAAATGGCAGGCGGCCTTGCCTCACCTACCTCACGAAGGACTGACAGAGGTGAGCAAGTGGCCGCTCCTCACCTCATGAATACAGGTGGCAGGCCTCTCCTCACCTCCATGAACGACCCAAACGGGTGGGTGGCCCATGAACGACCCACATGGGCAGGCAGCCTCTCCTCACCTCCATCAACGACACACATGGGCAGGTGGCCTCTTACCTCCATGAATGACCCACATGGGTAGGTGGCCTCTCCTCACCTCCATGAATGGCCCACATGGGCAAGCGGCCTCTCCTCACCTCCACGAACAACCCACACAAGTGGGTGGCCTCTCACCTCCATGAACGACCCACACGGGCGAGTGGCCTCTCCTCACCTCCACGAATGACCCACACAGGTGGGTAGCCTCTCACCTCCATGAACGACCCACATGGGCGAGTGGCCTCTCCTCACCTCCACGAATGACCCACACAGGTGAGCGACCTCTCCTCACCTCCACGAATGACCCACACAGGTGGACAGCCTCTCACCTCCATAAATGACACACACAGGCAGGCGGCCTCTCACCTCCATGCACGACCCACATGGGCAAATGACCTCTCCTCACCTCCACAAATGACACACATGGGCAGGCAGCCTCTCACCTCCACAAATGACCCACATGGGCAGGCAGCCTCTCCTCACCTGCACGAATGACCCACATGGGCCAGACGCCTCTCCTCACCTCCACAAATGACCCATACAAGCAGGCGGCCTCTCCTCACCTCCATGATCGACCCACACAGGCGGGCAGCCTCTCCTCACCTCCATGAACGACCCCCATGGGCGGGCGGCCTCTCACCTCAATGAACAACACATACCGGCGAGTGGCCTCTCCTCACCTCCACGAACACACACAGGCAGGTGGCCCCTCACCTCCACGAATGACCCACAGGGGCAGGCCGCCTCTCACCGCCATGAATGACCCACACAGACGAGCAGCCTCTCCTCACCTCCATGAATGACCCACACAAGCAGGCGACCTCTCCTCACCTCCATGAACGACCCACATAGGTGGGCGGCCTCTCCTCACCACCATGAACGACATGGGTACCACAGTCTCCAGCATCCTGGCAGTGCTCTTGTAGATGGTAAAACCAGCTCCAATCCTGGAACCTAACTCCTTCAAAAGGGATGTTGGCCCCTTCTATGGGCTGACCTTATGAGCTACAGGATGCAGCCAGGCCCCACAGACATTGCAGCCCCCACCCCTGCTGTTGCTGGAACTTTTTGCACCACAAAAATACTAGACAGGCGTCCTGGAGGGAGACCTGTGAAGACAGAAGCTCTGCCACCCGTTAGCCCACTAGGCTTTGTGCTGGCTAGTCACGCGGGAAGATGAAGCTACAAGAGAAGCTGCATCAGAAATGGGGTGCTGCCACGACACAAACCTGAAACTTGGGGCACTGGCTTTGGGATATGGAAAAAGGCCAAGGCTGGAAAGGTGGCAAAGAAGCTGTCACAGAGGCTGGAAACATGGGAGGGACCACCCTCGTCAGTATGGAGAATAGTTACCAAGCTACAGAGCAG